CAATGACAATGACAATGACAATGACAATGACAATGACAATGACAATGACAATTATTATAAACACCCTGCTTATAACAACGATTAGTTAATTTACATATTCAATTCAATATTCAATAAATGAGAATATTTGCAACGGATATTAGCCGAAGATAATTCCATATTAACCCCAACGCAATTGAAGACTTTCCCCGTTTTCTGTGCTCGCGATGAAAATTTGCGTAAATCTGTTAGGGAAAATCTGTAAATTAGAATTCGCATGCGGCATAGAGTAGCTGCCGCAGCGAATCGCCGTGCGGCAATGTGTCCGGCTGTGACAATGATAATCCCTGCAAAAATATGCGCACAAATTAAGTATCCCAAGTGCGGCGATCCAAAACGGATTTGGTGGCGGTGCTTAGTGGCCGTTCGGCCCCCGTCCATTGTTGGCATATTTAAAGTTGTAAAATAGCGAAAAACACGTTTGACCGACATTCGTGACCAAAGTGCGGCTGCTGTGGCTAAAAGCTGAGACGCCGAGACTCTGAGACTCTGAGACTCTGAGACTTTGAGACTCTGAGACCAGGATTTCAATTTCGATTTCGATTTCGCTGCGGCAACGGCGACAAATGTGCCACGTCCCACCCGTCCCAGGCAATTGACCGTGCGACTACTTTAGCAAATGAAAATGGTTAACAGAAGGCAACAGAAACAGAAAAAAATAAAACACCAAATAGTAGAAGAAAAAAAATAAAAATTGGATATAAAGGTTTACAAAGCCAAACATAATTTATGATGCACTTATGTGGGGCTTGGGCCCCGGCGACAGCCTGTGTGACTCATGTTCGCTGGCTTGTCGCCAGGTGTCGCTGCAGCGTTTAAGCAAAAGTGAAAATGAAAACGAAAACGAATACGAATACGAATACGAAAATGAAAATGAAAATCAGGAAAATGTCCACACGGTCCACACATAGCTGGCCCTAAATTGTGGCGCATTTTGATATTTATGATGGTCTCGCATTTTAGCTTTTAATCACATGTGAATGCGACCACGAGTCGAGTCCCTGGGTGCACTGACCTCAACCTCAACCTACGTACGTAGTGCAGTGCAGTGCAGTGCAG